GAGAAGCAGCTGCTGAGGAACGAGACCGCCAACCTTGAGGATCACAAGGCGGGCGAGAAACGCTGGCTTGAGTGCCTTGCCGCCGTCGCAAACTCGGCCGCCGACCAGCTGGCCATCATGGGGGTGTCGGGCATGGAGTACGCCCCGGAAGTGTACCTGAGCCCCAACGCCAGCCTGACCATATACTTTGAGAGGGTCGTTGGCGCCTTGAAGCGGCTCCACTCCAACCGGGCGGCCTCCCTTGCCGAAGAATCCCGAATTCTTTGCCAGGGGGCCATCACCAGGGTGCTCGTCAAGATAGCGCATTAGCATCCTGACCTCGACTTTGAAGTGGTGCTGAAGAGCTTGCTGGAGGATGCTGACATCGCAGCGCTCAACGAGCGTATCCAGCCCATCCTCAGCCGCATCAACAAAATCAAGAGGTTGGAGGGCCAGCGCCGGGACTGAGCACCTTGTTTCTTATCGCCGTTGTAGGTTGATGACCAAGACGAATGCTATCTTTAGTTAGAACCGCGGCGGCAATTTATGTAATATGACTCTGCAGTACCTGTGAGACTATGCATGTTATTTTCCTGTTAGATTTTCCTTTGTATGTATGCCCCACGTCGACAGGGTAAGCTTGCCGGCGCGTAAACCCGGGGCGGCGCCTTGACGACGGATCCTCACTGGCCTGCCGGGTATGGCTTGCTGCCGGCGAAGCACCTTACCGCCCCTAGCACGGCCGCTCGATCTGTCGAGCTTGACTCGAGTCAGAGACGAGAATGTAGCTGGTGGCGGAAGGCTACCCTGCCGCTCTCGACGTTACCGCTCGAACTGTTGAGCGGGCTTGAAACAGAACAAGGGCGTTGCCAATGGCAGGAGGGCCCCTTCGCGTACAGGTTTCTCATACATAGGCAGAACCATCGAGGACAACAACCTTATATTTAAGGATAAAAACTTTAAAGTTTGGCATGACTTAGCTCTTTCGCTGCCGCCTCGGCATCCTTCGCGTCAACGGGCAGCACCGCCCTTTGGATCGCTTTCTCCGCAGATGCCGTGGCGATGATGAACTACTAGGCCTACCCCTAGGCCAGATTCTCACAATTTTGCGCCCCCTACCTGGCGCGCCAAAGATGTCGGTGGAAAACGACACCTATGGGATCACTGGAATCCCTTCTACGGTTGCAGGGCGCGGAATCGTGAGAAGAGCGGGACTAGAGGATGGCACAAAGGGGATTTACCCAGGTTCGGGCTGCAAAGGTGCGTAAAACCCTACGATCCTGCTTTGGTGGTTGTATTAGGGTTCTTGAGCTCTTGAACTAGCTCTGGGTGCTGCGAGGTTCAAAAGAGTCGAATCCCCTCTCAGTATGCCATGGGCCTCCTTTTATAGGCGAAAGGGGCTGCCACAGTGGCACACAGGAGGTGGAAAGTGCTACAGCGTTGTGAGGTTATCGCTAGTATTACAAGACAAGACGCATTAAATGCGGGCTTAGGTGTCCTTCACTTTATTGGGGAACAGGGGCGAGGCCTGTCCCGTCCGTCGCCGCCTCTCCTGGCTTCGACGCGCGCCCCAGCCATCGACGCATGCAGCGCCATGTAGGCAGGCAGGCAGTTGAGGTGGCGTGGTGGTGGAGCCTCCACGTAGGTCTGCATGCTGCCACGCAGGCGCCTGCCCGACTGGTTGGGTCGGTGGCTGCACACGAACGGCGGTAGGAACTTGGCTGGTGCGGGCCTTGTAGTGGCCTTGCCGGGGCGCTTGGCGATGGTCTTGCCGGGTGGCCCGGCAAGGGTCTTGCCGCGGTGCGCTGGCTTCCCCGGCAAGGATCTTGCCGGGAGGCCCTGTGGGTTCCTACGGTGAGGATGGTTGCCTTCCTATCCTCCTTTGATGTCGATTGCTCTTTGTCTTCACAAAGATCTGCATGCCACCGCGGAGGTAACTCCCGAACCTGTCCCAACGTGACTGCTCAGCGTTGGTGGGCTCGAAGGTGGCTCGCTCGGCGGGTGAGGACGAGCTGCCCCGGCAAGGGTCTTGCCGGGGCTGCTGAGGCCGCCCTCGGCAAGGGTCCTTGCCGGGGTAACCTGCATTGCCCGTGCGACCTTTGTGGCCTTGGTCCTTCGTTGTTTGCTTTGCTTGTCTCTGTGGCTTTGGCTTTTCTCCGGCTTCCCTTCCCTGCCTTGCTCTGACTGTCCGTGCACAAGTAAAGGGGTCAAAAGCTAGGCCCCTACTTTTGTATACCGACACCAAGGGTCCAAGGAAGCCACGGTCGGAATGCACGTCGGAGGAGCTCGCCAAGATGGACACGGAATCGACGAAGGAGGAACCAAAGGGCGATCGTCAAGGGCAAGACCGTCGCAACCAAGTTCGCCACCGAGCACGATGCGATGGAGGCCGCGCGGTGCAAGGCCGAGGTCGACGAGAAGGAGGCCATCATAAACAAAGCGCACGCCCTCATAATGCTTGGCCTTTGCCGTCCGACGGGTTTCTCTTGTGCGGCCGTAGGCCCGGCGAGCACAGGCTCGTTGGTCGCCAGGCCTCAGCATGGCTCGTCGCCGACGTCGCGGACCACGCTTATGTCGCCCGGCTTTCCCCCGCCAAGGCACGATGGCCAGACCCGTTTTTCGGGGTCGCCGGACATTGGCGTGATCGCGCCGTCCACCCCGCGCCCCTCGGCCATCATTGACCTCAACGTCACGCCGGGGTCCAGCAGCGGCGGCCGGCCGGCCGTCGAGATGCAAAGAAAGCAAGCACGACCACCATTTACGGGCACCATGACATCGCCCCGCGTCCTATTCAACGAAATGGCAACACCAATGCCAACGGTCGACGACCCCTTCTACAACCAGTTGATGGAGCATGTGATCTACGAGGGTGGGCATGGCGGTGCCTACTATCCCGATGAGACCCAAAGTCAGGATGGCCGCGCCCAGTACGTTGCGGATGAAGAGGCCCACGACCATGCTGACTACGACCATGTTGACTCGTGGCATGAAGACGATGACATCCATTGCAAAGGTGATGGTGATTAAGAAGATGGCATTGATATTGATATTGGGGGTGAGCCATTGTTCATCGACGAGATCACCCAAAAAGGGAAGCACAAAAGAGGAATAAGAGCATTCGCACGGGTTCATATTCATAAGACGAGGACAAGTTGATTTGCCAATGTTGGATGAAGATTAGCCAAGATCAGATGACCGGTGCGCAACAAAAGGGCCTTGTTTTTTGGACGAGAGTCCACAAAACATTCCATGAAAGGAAGCTGTTTGAGCCCTACCAAATTCGAGTAACCGTGGCATCACCTCGATTCAAAAGAGATGGTTGTTCATCCAACAAGAGTGCAAAGTACCACACTTGAGAGCATTGAAGCACGGCCCGTGAGTGGTCTCGGCATTTGGGACTTGGTATGCTCTCCTCATCCTAGTTCTTTTGTTGCTACGGCCATGAGGCTTCGGCCTTATATATGTTTGCATGTTCAATTGTTGTTGATCATGTGGTGTAGGCATTTCAATCTTTGGAAGCATTCAAGGCCCGGCACAATGACAAGCCATTCACTCTTACGCATTGTTGGACGCTCATCATAATTGCCCAAAGTTCAAAGATCAATACCGTGAACTTCAAAGGAAGAGAGGCAAGAAGGCGGCTGCGTTTGCCGGAGGTGGAGATGGTGAGGCATTGAAGAGGCCGAGGGGCAAGACCAACTACAAGGTGAACTACATATGTGATGCATCATCCATGGCCTTGCATGAGACTTTGCACGACATGATGTCTCAAAAGGATGTGAGGGACGAGAAAAAGCGACAAAGCAAGGACGAGCAAATGAAGCAATACCTAGAGCTTCAAAGGAAGAAGTTTGAGATGGAGGAGGCGGCCAAGAAGAGGAAGATCGACATGGAGGAGGCGTCCCGGCAAAGGCAGCTCGACATCGAGGCCGCCAACGTCACGGCCAGGCAGAGGCAACTCGACATCGAGGCCACCGACGCCGCAACCAAAGCAAATGAGGTGGCCCTAGCGATCATGAGCGTGGACTTGAGCAAGATGAGCGAGAAGATGAGGAGCTGTTCGAGGCCAGGCAGAAGGAGATGTTCGACGCTGACGGCTTGAACTAGGTCGTCTGTTCGGCCATGGCCGTTCTTTTGGAGGCTGGCATGGGTGTCGGCCGCTGGCTGTGTGCCGGTGAGAAACCTATTCATTTTGAGGGCTGGCTGTGTTACCGGCCGCTAGCTTTGTTGCCAGCGATAAAACTATTCATTTTGAAGGCTGGCTCTGTTGCTGGCCGCTGACTGTGTTGCCGGCGAGGACTGGGGCCGCTGGCTGTGTTGCCGCGAGGACGTGTATGGCTGTGTTGCCGGCGTGAACCGGGGCTGCTGGCCTGAACTTGGTCGTGCTTTCACATATTGGCCTTTGAAAAACGATGCGGACAGGATGGGGCCGAAGGATGCGTCCGCGCGTTGAGCGCACGGCCGCCACATCCCAAAACAGGTCCAAACACGACCCCATTGCCCTACGCAAACAGACAGAATTCGGGCAAAATAAATGTTTATTTGGGATCGTGCGCTGGAGTTGGCCTAAAAACTGACATGTACCTGAGAAATTTACAGGCCGGCGTTGGGATGCCACTTGCGGTAGAGAGAACAAGAGAACAGTGGAGAGATAGATCGAGTCACATAGTCCACGCGTCAACGTCACATCTACGTGTGCATCACTGGTCAACTCAACAGCTTGGACTGAAGACAAACGCGAGCATTTCAGTACTCCTACGTACACTTTCTTCGACCTGGAAAAAGGGTAAACGTCAAAGAAAAGAAAAGGAAACTTCAACACTGCACGATCACGCATCACCGTCCCCTCCCCAGATCCCTTTACCAAATTGAGCCTCCTTCTGTACCCCCCGCCGCGGCACCGCGCGCACTCACACAGATCCATGCGCGCACCGCCGCCGCCGCAGTCGCCGTCGCCCAGCGCGTCACACGCGGCCATGGCGTGCGTGGTGACGTCGGAGGTCGCCGCGGTGCTCGCCATCATGCGCCGGAACGTCCGCTGGGCAGCCGGCGGCGACGACGACCCCCTCGATCACCCCCTCGTCGCGGGCCTCAAGTCCCTCCGCCGCGCGGCCGCGGCGTGGGGCACGCGCCGGTGGCGGGACGTCGAGCCGCTCCTCTACCTCGGCCCCTTCCTCGACGTCGTCCGCTCCGACGAGGCCGGCGCGCCCGCCACGGGCGCCGCGCTCTCGTCCCTCCACAAGATGCTCTCCCTCGACCTCGTCGGCCCCGACGCGCCGAACGCTGTCGAGGCCATGTCCGCCGTCGTGGAGGCCGTCGCGGGGTGCCGCTTCGAGGTCACCGACGCGGCGTCGGAGGAGGCCGTCCTGGCCAGGGCGCTGCAGGTGCTGCTCGCCTGCGTGCGCGGCCGCGCCGCGCCGGCGCTCTCCAACCGCCACGTCTGCGACATCGTCAACACCTGCTTCCGCGTCGTGCAGCAGGCCGGTGCCAAGGGGGAGCTGCTGCAGCGCGTGTCCCGGCAGACCATGCAGGAGGTGGTCCGGTGTGTCTTCGCCCGCCTGCCCGACATTGATCCCACCGCGGTTGCAGACCACAAGGTGTGATCACCTCTATCTAACCATCCGAGTTTTGTGTTGCTATTTGCATACTTGCACACTGGGAACACCGACATTGTTGAGTCATCTATTTTAGAACGGAGGGAGTATAATTTAACTCGCGATGCTCATATAGGATAGTGTGAATGAATGAATGTATAAGTCTTAGTAGTACCAAAAAGAATGAACGTGTACACCTAATCTGACGTTGTAATTTGAGTTCAGTTTTCCATTCCTTGTCAGTTAAAAATATCGAGTTCAGCTTTTACAGGCCTTTAGTCAATGTCGAGTATTTTACAAGTTATTTTAGAAAGAAACATTTTAGCACTAACAACTAAGAGTATTCATATGTCCCAGTAGAAACCAATTAGAAAGTTAAAATGCATTACACTCATGATAGCAGTTTTTATGCAGATTGCTGGTAGCAAGAACGAAGCTTCAAGTGCTAGCGAAATGGGGAACGGGAGCGATTCTGTGTGCTTGAGTAGCTCACAGGATGAGGTTGGATGTGAATTTGGTGTTGTGCAAGACAAGGCCATGATGGAGCTGTTTGGGGTTCCTTGCATGGTAGAAATATTGCAATTTTTGTGCTCTCTGTTGAACATAGCAGAAGACAGTCAGGTCGACCCAAATATGAATCCAATTGACTTTGACGAGGATATACCACTCTTTGCTCTGGGGTTGATCAATTCTGCTATTGAGCTGTCAGCTTCGTCCATACAGAGACACCCAAAACTACTGGCTTTTGTACAAGATGAACTGTTCTGCAATCTAATGCAGTTTGGCTTGTCAGATAGCCCCTTGATTCTGTCGACCGTATGCAGTGTTATTTTTACACTCTTCTACCATTTACGTCGGGAACTGAAGCTGCAAATTGAGGCTTTCTTTGCGTGTGTGATCCTTAGGCTAACCCAGAGTAGATATGGAGCTAGTTACCAGCAGCAGGAAGTTGCCCTGGAGACTCTAGTGGATTTTTGCCAGCAGAAAGATTTTATGGTCGAGATGTATACAAATATGGATTGTGATTTACAGTGCTCTAATGTTCTTGAAGACCTGGTTAATGTTCTGTCCAAAAGTGCATTCCCTGAGGAGAGTACCTTGTCAACATTAAATTTGCTTGCTTTGGATGGTTTGCTTGCTGTCATTCAGGCAATAGCAGAGAGGATTGGTAATTTACCTCAGCACTGCCAGCAGCCAGTGCAAGAATTAAGTGAATATTTTTCCTTTTGGCAGTTAAAGTGTGAGAACATTGATGATCCTGATCAATGGGTTAGATTTGTTAACCAGCAGAAAAGCATCAAGAGAAAGCTAATGGTTGGCGTTGAACATTTTAATAGCGATAAAAGGAAGGGCTTTGAGTACCTGCAAGCTGCTCATCTCTTGCCTGAAAAACTTGATCCACAAAGTGTTGCCCTGTTTTTCCGCTACTCGCCTGGATTAGACAAGAATCTTCTCGGGGACTATCTGGGGAATCATGACGAGTTCTCCATTCAGGTCCTCCATGAATTTTCTAGAACCTTCGACTTCAAGGAGTTGAACTTGGATGCTGCCTTAAGGCTCTTCTTGGAAACCTTTCGGCTGCCTGGTGAATCACAGAAGATACAAAGGATTCTTGAGGCCTTTTCTGATAGGTACTATGAAGAGTCACCAGACTTGTTCGTTAACCGGGATGCTGCTCTGGTGCTGTCGTACTCAGTAATCTTGCTCAACACGGACCAACACAATGTACGGGTTAAGAATAAGATGTCAGAAGAAGATTTTATTAGGAACAATCGCCGTATCAATGGTGGGAATGATCTTCCAAGGGGATTTTTATCTGACCTATATTATTCTATTTGTCGAAATGAAATCAAAACCATTCCCGAGCAAGGAGTTGGATGCTCAGAGATGTCTTTCAGCCGCTGGGCTGATCTGATGTTTAAGTCAAAGAGGGCATCAGCTTACATTGCTTGTCACTCCTATCCTTTTCTTGATCATGACATGTTTCTTATCATGGCCAGGCCAACAGTTGCTGCTATCTCAGTGATCTTTGATAATGTTGAGCAAGAAGAGATTCTTACAAGATGCATTGATGGGTTTCTGTCAGTGGCAAAGCTGGCTGCATTCTATCATCTTAATGATGTGCTGAATGATCTTGTTGTGGCACTTGGTAAGTTCACCATTTTGTCGATCGCCTTTGATGATCCTGCAACAGCTTTTGGTGAGGATGCCAAGGCTAGAATGGCAACAGAGGCCCTTTTCACTATAGCAGCAACTCATGGTGATCACATAAACAGAGGATGGAGGACCATTGTAGATTGCATTTTAAGATTCCATAAGATAGGTCTCCTTCCTTCTTGTCTCACCAACGGTACAGCTGGTGATCAGGAGTCCTTCTCTGCTTCGTTGCCTAGCAAGGTTTCCTCCTCATCTCCCGCTGCCCCTCAAGTTGAGCCAATCAGGATTCCTAAGAAAACATATGGGCTGATGGGGAGGTTCACCCAGCTACTGTATTTAGATGCTGAAGAGCAAAGGTTCCAGCCAACAGAGGAGCAACTTGCTGCTCAGAGGAATGCTTCAGAGACCATCAAGAAGTGCCAAATAGGTACCATCTTCACCGAGAGCAAATTCTTACAAGCTGACTCGCTCTTGAATCTGGCAAGAGCCCTCATTCAAGCAGCAGGCCGACCTCAGAAGATCACCAGCTCAATAGATGTTGAAAGCAATGCAGTCATCTGCTTAGAGCTTATTGTTGCCGTCACATTAAACAACAGAGACAGGATTGTTCTCTTATGGCGTGATGTTTATGAGCACATAACTCATATTGTTCAGTCCACAGTAATGCCCTGTAATCTGGTGGAGAAAGCTGTTTTTGGCCTCCTGGACATCTGCCAGCGTTTGCTTCCTTATAAGGAGAACCTCGTGGATGATCTACTGAGGTCGCTTCAGTTAATCTTGAAACTTGATGCTCGTGTGGCTGATGCGTATTGCGAGAGCATCACCCAGAAGGTTGCATGCCTTGTCAAGGATAACGCAACACATATCAAGTCTCAGATGGGTTGGCAAACTATCATTTCCTTGCTGTGTGTCACTGCTCATCATCCTGATGCTTCTGACGCTGGTTTTGAAGCCCTGGTTTACATCATGTTTGAGGGGGCACATCTCTCACCTGCCAACTTCGTCCTTTCGGTGGAGGCCTCGAGACAGTTTGCACAGTCTCGGCTCGGGTCTGCTGAAAGATCTATCCATGCTTTGAACCTAATGGCTGAATCAGTGAATTGCCTTGCACGCTGGTCACATGAGGTTAAGGAAGCTGGTGGAGAGGCCGAAAGGATGTTGGAAGGAATCACTGAGATGTGGCTGCGGCTAGCCCAGGCCCTGCGGAAGGTGTGCACAGATCAGCGAGAACAAGTGAGGGATCATGCTCTGGTATTGTTGCACAGATGCTTAGTAGTTGATGGGATATCAGTTCCATCTTCGGCGTGGTTGATGTCATTCGACATTGTCTTCCAGTTGCTCGATGAATTGCTAGAGATTGCTCAGAATTTCTCGCCAAGGGATTATAGAAGCATGGAGGCGTCTCTCTTGCATGCTGTAACACTGTTATCCAAACTATCCTTGCAGTCACTCAATGATCTTTCGGCACATAGCGGTTTCAGTAAGCTGTGGGTGGAGGTACTGGACATGGTAGAGAAGCTCATGAAAGTCAAAGTAAGAGGGAGCAGCAGGACCGAGAAGTTACAAGAGGCTGCCACAGAGCTACTCAAGAACATTCTGCTGGCGATGAAAGCGAGCGGGATCTTATCGAGGACGAGAGCCGGCGGGGAGAGCAGTTTGTGGGAAGCAACATGGCTTCAGGTTAACAAGATCGCGCCTTCACTTCAGTCAGTAGTTTTCCCTGGTTATGATGATGCAGTACAAGGTTCACAAAGCAAGTTGGATATTCCAGCGGTTTCTGAGGGGAGGTTGGTCCCAGTTTAGATGAACAAACTGTACTTCTGGATATAATACGTAATTGTAGGTTATAGTTAGAAGCAGATGATTTCAGATGTACTGTACTAGTATACTTTTTGTGATAAATAACTTGGATTTCATACTAGTCAGATTCATGGTCAAGTTTGAGTAAAATGTGAGGGGGCACTTGCAAACCAGAAGGAACGAAACTGATACATCAATTTCATTTCATGCCATAAATGTTGAACTAGTATTACGTAGTACTTGATCTCGAGCAGCTAACTAGAAAGCTGACTGAACGACTCTGTTAGGTAGCTAGGACGAACTAGTAGTGGTACTACTTGATCTGCTTCAACAGTTCTACTAGCAGCAAAAATGCACGAGAAATCGCATACTTGCTGCTCGATCTTCACTTCACTTCACTCCAAGGAAATCCGGGAGAAGGGCTGCCCGAGGCTCGGCGTCCCGATGCGGCGGCGCACCCTGGCCATGGCCATCGCCACCGCCACGGAGCGGTCTGGCCCCGCCGGCGGAGGGAAGAAGCCGGTGTGCCGCTTGCACGCCAGGGCCCGGCGCTTGTGCCGGTACGCGCGGTCGAGGACGCCCCGGCCGTGGGAGTGAGGCGCGGTCTCCCCGTCCGCGTCGCCGTCGGCGTCCCCGGCCTGGTCGACGCTAGAGCTCCCCGCGCGCTTCCTCTTGGCGCCGGGCGCGGTGGCGACGGAGTAGCTGCCCTGGTCGACGTAATGCGCGGCCGAGAAGGGGGCGGCCGGGGCCGGAGCGGCGGCGGCGTCGTCGACGTCCATGTCGACGTCGAGCTGGAGCACCTTCAAGAAGATGTCGAGGTCGGCGCCGGGGCCGGCTAGGCGCTCGAGCGCGTCGACGGCGTCGGTGAGGCGGTCGACCTCGGCGCTGCAGACGAAGAGGGACTTGAGGCCGGCGAGGAACTTCTTGGCCGAGCCGACGACGGCGGAGGGGTCGGTGGTGGCGTCGAGCACCTGCTGCCCCCGCAGCGCCTCCTTCCGCAGCAGCTGCAGCCAGCGGTGGAGGGAGCTGCCCCGCACCGCGGCCCGGGCCTCGGCGGCGTCCGCCACCCCGCGCACCATCGCCACCAGCTGCCGCAGCCGGCGCCGGCGCTGGCTCACCCGCGAGTTGCCGCCCCAGTTGGACTTGAGGTAGCCGATGAACTCGCCCATGAGGGGCGACTCGAGGATCTTCATCGCGGCTCCTGTCCTCCCCTCGCGCGAACCCCGAGCAGGATCAGCCACCGCCGGCGAGGACTGAGGACGAGGAGGCGGGCTTGTGTGCCGAGGAGTTGGAGCCTGGAGGTGGTAGCAGCGGCAGCAGCGGCAGAGAGTGGCATTGGACGACGGACTGGCGCGGGTTGCCGGGTTTGGTTGGGTTGGCTGCTCCTCGGAGACCGTGCGTTGTGTGAGCAGCGTGTCCATGCCCCAAAAGATTTTGCCCGAGTTAACTTGCCGTGATCA